TCTGTGTCAATCCTGGTCAAAGTCTTGATCAAAGTCTTCCTGGACCATCATCTCCACCTATTCATATCTACCAGACAGATAGTCCCGTTTTCCAAGAACATGGTGAATCCCCTACTTCAGATACTTCTCCCTCGTCCCTTGATACCATGACTCATGTTGAAGGTGATTCAGACTGACCGATTGCTCTCAGGAAAGGCACTCATTCCACTTGAAATCCACATCTCATTTATAATTGTCTTAGCTATCACAGATTATCGTCTTCCTATTGTTCCATTTTTCTTCAGTATCTTATGTTGTGATTCCCAAGAATGTAAATGAAGCACTTAATCATCCTGGATGGCGACAAATCATGATTACAGAGATGCAGACTCTTGAACACAGTCATACTTGGAAGCTAGTGACCCTCCCACCGGATAAGAAGGTCATTGGTCATCGATGGGTGTATGCAGTTAAAGTTGGCCCTGATGGTCAAATTGATCGACTCAAAGCTCGATTGGTTGCAAAAAGATACACTCATGGTCTTGATTATTGTGACACTTTCTCTCCCGTGGCCAAGATGACTACTATTCGTTTCTTCTTTGTCATGGTAGTCATTCGTCACTGGCCACTTCATCAATTGGATATCAAAAATGTCTTCATCCATGGTGACCTTGAAGAAGAGGTTTACATGGAGCAACCTCCTGGGTTTGTTGTTCAGGGGGAGTTTGGTATAGTATGCAAATTGCATCGTTCGGCCTCAAGCAATCACCACGTGCTTGGTTTGGAAAATTCAGCTCCATTATTTAAAAATTTGGGCTAAGACGTAATGAAGGAGACCATTATGTCTTTTACTATCATACATCTCTTGGAAATGTGTTTACCTAATAATATATGTTGATGATATAGTCATTACAAAAAGTGACACTGCTGGAATATCTCAACTAAAGGAGTACTTGTGTAGACATTTTCAAACCAAGGATCTTGGAAACCTCAAATACTTCTTGGGCATTGAAGTAGCTAAATCAAAAGATAGAATTGTAATCTCTCAAAGGAAGTATGTTTTTGATATATTACAAGAAACAGGCATGATTGACTATAGACCAGTAGACAGTCCTATAGACCCAAATCAGAAGCTAACGACAAAAGAAGGTGAATTATTCTCTGATCCAGAGAGATATAGGCGACTTGTTGGAAAGCTAATTTATCTTACTATTACAAGGTCTAATCTATCTTTTGCAATTGGAGTGGTTAGTCAGATTATGCAGACTCCATATCTTGGACATTGGAATGCCATCATCAGGTATCTCAAGAAATCTCCTGGACAAGGTTTACTGTATGGAGATAAAGGAAATGTTCAAGTTTTCGGGTATTGTGATGCTGATTGGGCAGCCTCCCCTATTGACAGACGCTCTACTACAGGATATTGTGTCTTCCTTGGAGGAAATGTTATCTCATGGAAAAGTAAGAAGCAAAATGTAGTAGCCTGATCATCCGCTGAAGCTGAATATCGGGGCGCGTCTCTCACTTGTGAACTCATATGGGTAAAGCAATTTCTTCGGGAGCTTAATTTCTGTGAAATCCAGACCATGAAGATGTACTGTGACAACCAAGTTGCTCTCCACATTGCATCAAATCCGGTATTTCATGAGGACTAAACACATAGAAATCGGCTGCCATTTTGTTCGGGAGAAATTAATGTCCAAGGAAATTTGTACTAAGTTTGTTAGGTCATATGACCAACATGCAGATGTGTTGACCAAGTCATTGAGGGGACCTCGGATTTAGTTCATTTGTTCCAAGCTTGGTTCATATAATTTGTATGCTTCAGCTTGAGTGGGAGTGTTAGAATCATTATTTCCTAGTATTATCATTAGACCTAAGTATAGGGTGTTGAGTGTAGGAAACTTCCTACATTTGTCTCTAGGTCTGCACCTAGGGTCCTAGTTGCAGTCTCTTACTTAGTCTTCTATGTCTCATTGTATTAGATTTTCCATTATAAATAGAAGAAAGGGAGAAGGGTCTCAAGAGCCCTGAAGATCTATTTTTTCTCTATTAATCTTAAGTGTAATATAAGATGCAAACTCAAGACTGCAGAAAAATTGGATGAGAAGTACTCTTTGGCATTATCACTTCTCAAAATTTTGATTACTTGCCCGAATTGGTTCTTGATTTCATTCAAAAAGCATGTGAAGATAGACAACAATTCAGTACGGTCTTTCAAAAAATAAACCCAAATGCATCTCGAGTATTCATCAATGAATGTGACAAAATATTTAAAACCAAAAGAAGAGACACGACTGGGTCCCCAAATATCAAAGTGAATAATAGAGAAACTAGAATTATACCTTGTTTTAGACTTTTTAGGAAAGGTAGATCGAACACGTTTTCCTAATTGACAGGATTCACATTTTAAGATCTGGAGACTACTAAGCTTGGGGACTATTTTTTTTTTTTAACTTTGACAAATGAAGATGACCTAACCGTAGCAATTTAGGACTTGGGGCTGCAACACAGGAAACATGGGGACTAGATCCAAAATGATATAAACCTCCAGCTTCATATTCTTCACCAATTCGTCTCCCCGAACCACGTTCTTGTGTAATAAAAGACTTCTTATCAAAAGTTATTGAACAATTTAACGTTTTGGTTAACTAACTTAATGAAATTAAATTAAAGGAACAATTAGGGACAAAGAGGAAAAATTTTAGATTTAGAGAAAGAGATAAAGAGACTTCACCAACTCCCTTTGAGGAAACTTTAGAACCATTTGCCAAGGTTATGAAATGATGTTTTTCTGGAAAAGAAAAGGATGAAAACAAAGAGGTATTATCGGTGATAGGATCAAAAGCACCTGAGTCAATTATCCATAAATTTTGACCTTCCATGGATTGGGAAATCCAGGTTGTTGATGTACTCGGAATTTCATATGTTTGTGCCAAGTTGTTAGATTTTAACCTAACATACTCTTGATATTCTTCCTCGGTGAATCTAGAGTTGACAGTTTCCTTCTTAAAGATATTGGTTGTCTTGGCAGGAAAACTATGCAAGGAGAAGTAGTTTTCCTGGGTGTGACCCATCCTTTTACAATAGGTACACTGAGGACGCCCTCGACCACCACGTCCTCTGGTCCTCCTCTAGTACCACGTCGTGTGGCAACCATAACAGATGATTCTATCGGTTCATGAACTTCCTTACTTTAAGGCGTTGGGACTCGAAGGAGGCGTGTGGTCAAGCTATCCATGGAAGGGACCTCATGACTAGTAAGAAGCTGATCTCGGAGATGATCAAAGCCTGAGTGTAAAGCACGGAGGATCATCACCATATAATATTTATCAAGTTTCTTCTTGATTTCAGCCAAAGATTCTACTTCCAAGAACATCTTTAGCTCTTCAACTACAGATTGTGCTTCGGTCATGAAAGATACCATATCATGGTCAGTTTATTTGAGCGATGCAAGTATGTTGGCAAAATCATAGAGGAGTTGAATATCATTTGCATAAATGTCTTGAGCTTTCTTCCAAAAAAGGTGTCAAGTTTTAAAAGCTCTAAGGGAAATCAAAAGCCTTGGTTCCACAATTTGTCATAACAAGGCACACACCTGGAAATCAACTTGCTTCCACTGATCAACCTTTTCAAGAAGGGACATGGCTTCCATCTTTCTCAAGGTGGTCATGATGACCTTGGCCAAGGAACCATATTTCGACAGATGCAATCCAAGAAAGGTAATTTTTTTCCATTTAGTTTCTTGGAAGTAATGGAAGGACTTCCAAAGAATGAAACAACACTCTGGTAGCCATTTCTGGTGATAGAGATCCAGAAAACAACTAGGGCAGAGAGATCCCTAAGGTGACCTTCGCTAGGTTGGCTTTTGGACTTCGCCAAAATGAGTTTTGAGGGTCAAAACAGGAAGGGAAAGCTCTGACGATACCCACAGAGGTGGCGCGAAAACGTTCAGACGCAGAGAAGGCGGTGTGTGGATGACACGCGCCTGAATGCGCCAATTTTGACTAGGCATGTGACGGTGCGTGAGAAGGAACTAGCTTTCGAGACCGGCAGGATTGGTTGGTCGTCGCTCGGAGAGACGATGCAGATCCGGTGGTCGCCGGACGAAACTGTGACGGCGGCGGATGGTAGGGGACAGTGGCTCCAGAGATGACTGAGACAGGCAGAACGGGATCAAGCCACTCTGATACCAACTTAACATTAAGAAACAGGAAAATATAGTTTGGAGGGCTTGATTACCCCTCTTAATCATCTTTTATTTATAATGAAAAATCTTATACAAAAAAGCATAGACACCTAGGTACAAAACTAGGTACGACAATAGGATAGCTGGTAGGTGTTTCTAACACACTACCCCCTACTCTGACTTAATGATTACACATAGATTTAATAATTATTCTAACACAATCATCAAATAGTATTTATTAGAACTAGTATTCCACTCTTATAATGAAAAAAGAGGGGTTCAAACAAAATAAATACTCCCTAGTCTTATCTATAGTAAACAAATTAGTGGCGGTACTTTTCATTTCCAAATGTATTAATTCCTAAATACCTTGTATAGCCCTAACTTATTTTGAAATCTACTTCAAGACACTCTTCATTTTCCACGCAAGTAGATACATTCACAAACTTTTCCCAGTATGATGAGTAGCTTGTCTGTGATTGTCTCGAAAAGAATACGATTCCCCTATCCAATTTTGAAATAATGATGACTAGCAGTTCATAGATTAGTAATACCCACAGTTTCTTTATTGAGATCTAGCACCACACCCATGCTTCAAAATTGGCAATCATGGTCGGAACAAAGGATCCTAAAAAGGCTATGAGACAACAAAAGAAGACATCTCTGTAACTCCGTTAAGCTACTCCTCTTTGAGTAGTTAAAACTTAGGAGTTTAATTTTTTTGAAAAATAAGAATGAAACAATGTTTCTCTGCACCTTGTTAGTACACTTGCTAACACTCAATCTAATTCTACTAACAACTAATTTTCACTCAGAACAGGGAAATACTTACGATGAATCGCTCCCAAAAATCACCAAAGAGAGGTCTATCAATTGCCTTCAACGTGTCCTTTGTTGCAGCATCTACACTGACATATAACTGCAAGGGGGAACAAGAATATTAGGTTTAGCTAGCATTATCATAACCAACATGAGTTATGTAAAAGACACAATACCTGGGTAATAGGTTTCAGTGATTTAATTTTCTCTGGAAATTGTGCATTTGTAACTAGAAAAGTGGAAATCCTCCTTTTGTGCAGCTCATCCACAAGTGCATTTATCTCTGGGTACATAATAGGTTCACCAACAAGAGATAATGCACAGTGACGAGGCGAGAGACCTTCATTTAATCGCTCCAAGGTGACTCCTAGACAAAGTTAAATGATGCAAAGTAGAAATTAATCAATTAACACAATGATGTGCTGAAAGGTGGAGTTGCTCTGAAGCTAATCTCCTCCCCAATATCAGTCAAAATCAATTTATAGCAGGGCATGGCTCAAAATGGAGGGACTGAATGAAAATGGAGGGACAAATAAATTTTCACTTTCGAATAACCAGGGATATAGTCTTGCTAAGGGATTGAAAGTTTACAAGATGATCTCCCGTTTAAAAGAAGTTCCCAAACAAGAAAATATTTACTTGAAATGAAACTTTACCACCAACCCCTCTTTCCATCTAAACTCCTTCACGATAACATATCTTTAGTGTGCCCAACGCTTACATAGAGAGCATATTGACTGATAGTACACACAGGATATGATCAAGGGATACTCTATCAACTTCATTATTGACCTATCACCTATGTAGGTCCATTAATCTGACCAATGGCCATATACTTCAGAATGATTACAGCATAGGTTAGTTTACCAGGAACTCCTTTCATTTGTTTAATCATGTTTGTATGGAGGTCTACTGCAGAATTTACAATCTCTATGGGATCATCCATCTGCCACTGCCAACTTTTCCCTACTGGATTTGTGTGATGTCTCCAGCAGAAAACACATTTATTTGCGCATGCCAAGCTAGGGGTTGCCTCCATGCATCTGTGTCAACTCAAAACAATTGAAAGTGTATTAGGCAGCTGCAATACACCAAAATATGCAACAAATGAAAAATCCACTTTTTTTACAAGCACAAGAAAACACCACAAAAAACCCATGGCCAGGATAAAGCCACCCTCCCAAACTTCAGATGATGTGGAATGGCAACTACAAGTCCACCCCACTTCTCAAAAGCCAAATTATTATATTGCAGCCCAAAGTTATCTTAAAATCAAGGCACACCTTTCTTTCCTCTTCCTGACCCATTGACTACCTTTCTTGTTCTTGAAATAGACCATCCAATGGTGCAAAAAGTTTCATACAACATAAATAATGAACTCCATCTTTAAATTCAACAGGAACAAATAAGGTAACGAAATCATGCCCCTAGAGTTGCCAGCTAAAATATAATGAATGAGCTGTGACATAAAACATACCTAGACATATAACATGAGATGAACAGCATGTCAAGTTGCCAGCTAAATGATAATGAATGAGCTAGCATGCAACAAGACCAACAAATATAACAATAATAATAGCAGGTCAAGTTGCTATTACCTGTGACTCTCGATTCCATAAAACGAGTGCTTATAGCAACCACCTCGACCACGAAGCTGCGCCTTGGTCCATCTACAAATCTTGACACCACTATGCGACCCAATAATTTTATAACCCTGCAAATCAGCAATCCATGAACAAAGCCAGTTCAAAAATCAGACAGAAAAGTAAACCATCACTAGTTAAGCAACACAAAAAAATTGTCAACTCCAAAGCATGCTAACCATATACGAATTACACAACATGCAATGTGACATTATCACATTATTAAAATTATATACCTGCTTCGTTAAATTTGCTCGAATCACTGGAGTCACCATTTCTCTTTTGCCATTCAATTTCCCATTACTTTCTTCCCCATTAGCCACCGTCTTCCGCCTTGGAGGAGCTTTACCAGCAATGTCCTCAAGATCAACAAGCTCACTCTCCACATCAGACTCCTCTTCGGAACTCGAATAGACGCCACATTCCCCGGCACCACCATCATCATCATCATCATCGCATTCCGTAATACCACCGCCTTTCAAAACCGCCACCACCTTCTCACACCATCGATCAAAAACCTTGTCCAAGTCACCACTATCAACATCCCCTTCGCAAAGCGGAACCACCTCCTTGGCACCGAGCGCCCTCAGGTGCGTAGCGAGGCCCTTCGCGACGGCGTTGAAGGATTCGCCATAGGCTCGGCTCCCGACGCCAAATACGGCGATACGACAGCTCGAGAGGAGGAGGGACCCGGCGCGGAAGTCAGATGCAGCTTCGGCGAGCCACGTGGCGAAAAAGCTGGAGGCGACGGGGGGAGCGCCGTCCTGCCACGTGGAGGCGACAAGGAGGAGGAGCGTCTCCTTGGGGAGGTCCTCGGGCTCGTAGTGCCTCGAATCGACGACGTCAAATGCAAAGCCGTTGGAGGCGAGGAGACGGTGGAGGCGGTGAGCGAGGGTTTTGGAGGTTCCGGTTTCTGAGAGAAATAGGATCTTCAGTTTAGGGTTAGGGTTTAAGGATAGTTTGAGGTATCTTAAACGACGAGATTTGTAGAGACAATAGAAGGTGGTGGCGGAGAAGAGAGCGAGGAGTGTGAGACGCGCGGGAACTGAGGATAGTGATATTGAAATCGACATTGTTGCAGTAGAAAATGAAGAATATGTGTAGAAATTATAACTACCTATGCGTTGTTATTGAAAAGTGAAGTGAATTGAAGGGTGCATGAACGAACACGCTTAGTTCATCGATCTGTTTCGGAAGCTGTTTGCAGCGCCCAACACCATCGGAGGAACCAACGAACCACCAAGAGCCAAAAGGTGTTATTGGGCCGGTGTTTAAAGTTTTAGGCCCGGTTCTTTTGTTATTATTGTAAATTTAACTTTGGAAAAAACACAGGCTGCTAAATTAATTTTTAAAAATATTTTTTCTTTTATGTTTTCAATATTTTTATTAATTAAATATTATTTTTATCTCATATATTTTATTATTTTTAAATATATAAATCATAATAATTTTTTTAATTAGATATTTTTTGTTTTTTCGGATAATAAAAGTTGATTTCAAAGAAAATATAATTATAGATAAAATATATTTTTTAGTTTATTTTTATTCACGTCAATTTATTTTGTTGAATGATACTTGCTATTGGATATCAGTACGATTCCTCCATATTATTTTTTGTATTCTGTAAAATTTATATCATCAATAACATTTAGATATTACTTAATAACTATGTTAGTCTTATTTTTAATAATAAAAAAAACATAATAATTATTATCTTTGTATATTGTGTAATAACTTACTAAACGTTTTTGTTTGTGTATATAAATTATGGTTTTATTTAAAAATAATACAAAAAATATTGATAAAATATATCTATGTTCTCTTCTTATATTCTTTTTTACAATTTTTTTTCAACCATATAATAAATTGCACATCAATCTAATAAGAAAATACTTATATATTTAATTATAAACTTAACTACACTTTTAGTTTTTCTACCATGATTCATCAGCAAATTTCGTCTTTCAATATTCTTTTATTTAAATTTAACCTCTTAATTTTTTAAATCCTAATGTTACTTCCTACGATATTCCTGAACGTTTCACCAATTTTCCAAATTTTGAATCATTCAAATAACTTTCTATTATTTAAAAAAAATGTTTAAAAGCCTATATGTAAAGAGAAAATTACCATAAAAGCTTAATTATAACAATTTGAAAAAAGAATTAACTTTTAGCAAGAAAATGTTTGAAACATTTTACAAAATAATTATTTAAAAGTTAATAACATGATTTCTTAATTTATGGTTTCTTAGACTTTGTGAAACTAGTCAAAATAAGTTATTTTTAGTTTATTAAAATAGATTTTATAGTCAAATTTATTAAATATCACAAAAACTTATTAAGTATATGCAAATACACTTTAATGTCAACATTAATAATTATAAAAGCTTACTAAATAAATACTTAATAATGTTGAATATGCAAACACTTCAATGTCCACACTAATTATTATAGGATATTAATTACTATAAGAACTAAAATTATGTGAAAATTGATTAAAATGACTAATGTAATAGATAGCAGGTTGTATCACTTGATGAAATGATCCATGTTCATGTAAGTTTGGTTATAGAATAAATCATGTTAAGAAAATATCATTTTATGTGTGTTCAACGTCCGTGAGTTTTTGTTAGATGAAGAATGCCTATAAAAACCCCTTCACACATATCATTTCACGTTGAAGGAAGAAGATGGTTGTGGTTGTGATTGATGTATTATACAAGAAAATTGCATATAACAGGGACTTAAGGCCTCCACATAGTTTTCTGTGCACACAGGATACCCTCCTTATCCTGAGCAAAAGCCATCCTAATCTCCCACTTCATGCTTTTCAATATTTCTTCCAATGGATTTAGAATTTCAACTTTGTCACGTATGATTGTCCAACCTCCTGGCCGTAATATACGGTCCATCTCAACAACAATCGACACAGGCTGCTTGCACCTGCAAAATAATTGGAACATGCAAGTTTTACATTGTTAGCAATAAGTGTGAATACCACTTTTGAATATTTCGAAGGGAGAGCAACATTAAGAAGATTCTAATAAATGAAACACAAAACATCCATATAAGAAATTATGATATCACCTTCATTCTAAAAACTTCAAACATTAGATTATAAGTTTTTCTCACTCTCAACTTTCTCATTTTTATCATTTCTACTCAACGTGGGATTTCAACTCACTTAAATTTCTAATAATTTCTACCTCAAGTGTGATCCCCTTCCATATTGGTTCATCTCCCCCTCAAATGAAAGTATTTCTTAACCATGAATACTCAATAACTTTACTTGTACCGTCGTTCAGTATAAAAAGACTTACTTAGATGAAACCCATGTCACAATCTAAGATCTATCATCTACTCCAATCCAATTGTACTCGACTGAATTGGTAGCCTCCTCAAAAGATACCCAACATACATATACCAAACACAGTAATTTCGAACTTTAGAAAGATGAAAATCAAAGAAAAAGGCTAAAAAGGACCAAAATCAAAAGTTCTTCAGTTTATGTGAAGTAAAAAAAATACTTGAACCCTCTAACTTTACTTTAATCCTCCATAAAAGAACTATATAATGTCAAATAATACCTGTTTTTGAGCCGTGAGAACAAATGGTCAGCATGCAAAAGGTCATATGTTCTTGGATAAGTGCCAAATGACTCACACCAATCATGGTATATACCAATAAGCCCACGTTCAAAAATGATTGGAAGTGTATCAGGTGCATGAGCAGGCACTACATTCATCACCCAGACCTTTTGTTGAGAGAGAGCTACAGCCAATCTGATTTACAAGGGGGAATTGTTAATTTATGTTTACCAGTGTTTCTAACATATGTAGGAAATCATGCAATGAACAGAAACTACACGTGCATTAAATACGTGTCAGAGAAAAATGCAGCTCACTCATCGATGCAAGGAACTTATCCATGATATCTACAAGGACTTTGAAATTGAGTACAAAATTTTCAAGCTGGTTTTCTGGCATACCCTCCGTAGATGGATTTCATGTCCATTACATTCCGGATACTTCTCCAGTTAATGCCCAATCCACTGATATATGACTTATTAACAACTGCATTCCAGTGATTGGTGTCTGCAACCACTTTCTCTTTGTTGTTCACCCAATCAGGATAAGTTTCGAGTCTCTTGGGCCATTCCTCAGGCCACTCTGCTCCATGTTGTTCAATTCCAGATGGAATTGGGTGCAAACAAGTCTTCATGGGAACATACCTATTCAAAGATTATTGATGATTTACCAATTTAGGAATGAGATTAATCTGGCTAGAAATAAGTCATACCATGTGCTGAACTCAAGCTGCTAAATAGTACACAAAAAGATTCACAAACACACAAATGATGACTTTGGTTTGGAAAAATATCCCAAGCATGTAAAGTCTAAACATAATGTTCAATCGTAAATTTTTTTTTCCTAGTTTTGTTTGAAATCCCAAATGATCAATTCTAAGTTTTAACCATAAGTGACAACCAATTCTAATCAAAGGCTGCACCACCATATATACTAATGTGTAATTGTATATGTCATTACCAGATTAAGGAAATTCTGCTACCATAAACTAACGTAGAAAAATCAGGTTAACATGCTGAAGATAAACACACGTTTATATTCAACAATGACAAATTGTAACTGGGAAAATATTGTAGAAAGCATCGACATATTGCTAGAAGATATATTTAGCAAAATAATATTTACAGTAGGATACCAGACTGCATCAGGATTTTCATTTTCTTTGCAGAGTGGTGGAATCTTCTTCCTCCTCAGTTCATATATGTCATTTCCTTCCGGCTTCTGATATATTTTAACTCCAACTTCGCCAACATCATCACTTTTGTGAGCCAGAACATTCCAACAAATAGATGCAGTCAAGGTTGTCATGGCTGGAAGAGAAAGATACGTTACTGTCACTTGTATGACATTTCAGTTGTCATGTACTAAATAATGCAGAGCATGGTTCATATCCACACAAAAATTGCAAGATCTCATAACGTCTTTCAACATTTTCTGCTGAAAGGCAACGTGGATCTCATCTCCAACAGTTAAGCGTAATCGATATGGAACACACTGCACACTGTGTCATACGGAATAAATATATAATGTATCATTTTATGGTAATTTAAAATTTTACTAATTTTATTTGGTATTATATAATATTTGAAATGTGTATTTAATTATTACCATTATGATCATGGTTTAACATGACCGACCCAATGAGCCATGATAAGAAATTATTCGTTTTGAATACATTAATAGGCTAATTAATAATCCTGCTTCACGTTTGCCCAAACAAGAATCGATGATAATAATCAATGATAAAAAAGACCAAACCTTCTTCTTCTTCAATACTGTCATGCTTAGTTGACATAATAAAGTATCCACCAGGTCTTAGAATCCTATTCATCTCCAAGAGAAGCTTTCCACCTGAAAAAAGTGGGAAAATTCAACCTGTTCTTCTAAAAATAAATGTAATTTGGTGAAACTATTTCAAAAAACAAGAAACTGAAGACAGGAAGACAAACCATTGGAATGCCAAGGTATGCTGCAACCTGCACAATGTATAGCATCAAAAACTTGACTGGGAAAAGGAAGCCTCCTTCTATTGAAAGGACTAATTACTGCTGGGAAACCCCGTTCAAGTGCCACCTGAGCTAAGTCCACTAGGTCATTCTTCAAGCCTAGTGATAATGTTAAAACCTCCTTATCAAGGAGAGCAGCTGCAAAGCTCGAATCTGTACATCCAACATCCAGGACAACACGAATGTTTTTACCCCATTCAATGTCTGGTACCATCTATAAAATTCAGAATGAGTATCAAAATGTTTCCCAGATGACATCAATAAAGAGTAATAAATATTTACTTTATTTAGTTAAAACTTGTATGCTAATATTAAAAAATCTCAATACTACCATCACAATGCAATTACAGAATATATGAAGAAATATGTAATTGTGCAAATACAACCACGAGCTGAGAACAACTGTGACAGAAAACCCAAAAAATATTCAATAACTTGTTGAGCAAACTATAACAATACAATCCTATAAATTTCATTGTCATCTGTACATTTTCGTCTTATTGTATCTTTTGTTAGAATATATAGCCGTTGGAGTACAAGTCCCACATTGGGTTAAATTGAACAAGTTGAGTAACATATAAATCATAAGGACTAACAAACTTAATATTTAAAAAGTTTTGGGTTGAGTATTGTATCAAGTTCACTTGTGTGGTGATATTGTTGTCAATTTCAGCCTTCTTCCTGTTCCCCAATATGGATCATCATTCTTAATGATTACATATAATTTTTTTAATATGGTTCATCAGGAGAAAGTCTCACAAACCACAGAAGCTCCAGCTCTTTCAAGTGAATCTCATTCATCTCCACCAATTTCTCATATTTTGTTTTTACCCTCTTCAAAACTATTACCCTTTTTGAAAGAAGACGGAGATTTTTTAGCTCTTCTCGGATTAAACCTATTTCTTTTCATAGAACGAATAAATGGATATGTTTTCTAGTTTCTCTCACATCAAGAAGACAATGATGATAATGAATGAACCAATTGGTCAAGGTCTTCTCCACTACTTAGAAAATTTTTTACTTATTTGACTTGGGTATGGGTCCAATACCTACCCAAAAATGTACCATACAAACCCAAATGAAGTACCCAATCTTTGTTGGGATTTTAAGGTTTTGAATATGTATTTTTGATATAAGAAGTATATGATATGGTGGAGCATCTCTCATAATATTTTATTCATGTAACATTTTATCCATGTACTCTATAAATATATAAAGTAAAAACATAACAAAATATTAACAATATTTCAATCTTAACTACCTAAATCAAAATAATAATGTAATATATTTTTTTCTTATTATGAAACATAATAAAAATCTCTCAATACCTAATTTAAATAAAAAAATAATAAAACATATACTCCCAACAATTTTTCATTTTGTAAATATTTTTAGTATGTATCTGTATCCAACGAAGGGTTACAACGTGGTTTTAGGTGTATCAATGCTTCATAGGGCATAACTCTTGTTTTACAATCTCAATTGACACAGTTTGATTTTTAATTTTAAAGGGTTTATTTGTAACAAGCTTAATGTAAAGTAAGCTTTAGCTTCAGGGAGAAATTAGAATATATGGAAATGTCAAAAAATATCTTATATCTTTGAGTATCCAAAGAAAGTAGATTTTGTTTCAGAAACTGAAATAATCTATCATTAACCAGTGCTATTGACATTGGCAATACATGAAATTATTTTCTTTATTTCCATGTTTTATATTGAATTGCAAAGCTACTCATGACAGTTGATTGAGGTTGTATAGTTTACACACTTATACAGAACATGAGCAGCATTGCACTTGAGAAGAGGTTCAAACCTTGGGAACTAAAGCAACAGTGAGACAGTGGCACCACAGGGTTGCCATAATAATTGACATATTTTTATGATGCAAAATTAAAATGCTGAAATTTTTTGTGTTGAAGTAATAGACAATGATTTTCAAGGCATAACACTTTAAAAATAAGTGGCAAGCTTAGTGAACTAGCCGATATCTATTTCTCGAAGTTATCTAACTACATGAATTATACACCATATAAATTTGATAGAGTTGAAAAGAGAGAGAACTACTATAACTGCTAAGTTCTCTGAATGCACTATTTTCTCCAAACAGAGAATCACAGATATAATGAAAAAAATTCAAGTCATCTAATTAATGACAAGAATCTCTATGGTTATTAAGGTAGTCCTCAGTTTATCATGTTCGAGAATAAAACTCCAGCTGTCTCTCTTCTTACAGTTTGCATAGATGTATTAATTCTAATTGTCCACAATCATGCTTAGGAGGTACCAAACATAACACAACCTAGTAGAAAACTTACCTCTTCAATGGACTCAAGATAGTGATGAATCCCTCCCTTGAACTCCGACTGGTTTTGGGGAAAAGTAAGAAACTCTTCAGACTCCATCAGCCAACTGTGCCTTTTTATGTAGGCAGCTAGTTTCGGGTGTGCAACATTCTTATACAATATCTGCACTGACGCCAAATGTTACCATGAGAAAACAAGAACATAACACACCAACATTTAAGTTTATGCCCCAATTTGAATAAATTTCTAAAGAAAAACTAATAAGACATATAAAATCAATCTTCTGGTACGAATTTAAATAAACTTATAACTTTTCCAGAAGCTACCTTATTTAGCTTCTCCATAACCACCTATAAACTTGTAATGGCTAGCTACCTTGTAACTCAAAAACCAAATACTTATCTCAATTCAAAAGCTCACATAACCAAGAAGTAATCCAAACTAAGATTATATGTTTTTTTTTCATATACCTTCAATTTGCTCTCAGGCCACGGCAGTGGAGATCCGTACCCTTCATGAGGAAGAGGAACCAGACACATGAGGGGTGTCCTAGGACAACTCCTCTCTGTGTGCCGGTAGCTTGTTACTTTTCCACCACCAATTTCAATATCAATGCAGGGAATGTAATTATGCTTGCTTCTAGAACTACACAATCTCCAGCTATAGCTAGCCTTTGGATCAAACAAGGGTCCTTTCGCCTTTCCCTTGCTTTTTTTTCTCAACTCCTCCACATCTTCCACCACCTCAGAATCATCCCTATCCACAGATTCAGCCAAATCACTGCCACCATCAGCATCCACATCCACTTCACTCTCATGATCCACTTTCTCTTCTTCACCCTCCACCTCCACCACAACCTCCTCTTTCTCTTTCTCCTTGTCTCTCTCTTCCTGGCCATGTTGGGGTTGAGGATCCTCTGACCGTTGATGATTCCCTTTCTCCTTGTCCTCCTTATCCACGTGCTTCTTTTCTTTCTTGTTGTCCTTTCCCTTGTGTTGTTCAGAGTGAGGACGCGTGGTAGAAGAGTGAGAAGACCCGTTACCTTTACTCTTACTCTTTTTCTCATTCGCACCACCCTTTTTAGATTCATCTCTCAACTTTTGCGGCTTGTGAGAGGAAGAGGACACCGGTTCCGCAATGTCCTCAAAACTCTCCCTTTGGGAAGTGACAGAGGAAGAAGAAGAAGAAAACACTCCCCACACAAAGATGAAACAGAGACCCAATACAGTAACAGCTGCCATCTTCACCCACAACCCATGAGGGCGTTTCGCTTGACGAACCAACCGAGCTATGGCCATATCTCAATCCAAAGAACGAAATTTTGAAATCCAATAATCGATGTAGCTCTTCGAACTAGCACCACTACCCTCTTCAAACGAATCTGATCTAGGTCTATTGGTCCAGCAAATGAAAATGTGAAGAGTGAAACAACGGGAATCGATGACACTTGTTCAAATCTGAGAAGTGAAACGAACAGGTTTAGTAGTGTGCCCTTTATCGAAGAAATGATGTCTGTTTCAGGGTAATGGGAAAGTGAAAATTTTGGCAAAGGGGAAGCGTGGGAATAGTTATTGTAGGAAATGAGACGTTGAAGAGACAAAAGGGGTTCGAAATGGCGTCAGTGGTTGAGCTATCAAGGTTAGGCAGAGGACATGTTCCTCGGAGCTTCGATCCGTATGAGGTTTGATGCAGAGACAGAGTAGATTATACGTAGTCAGCGCTTAATCAACAACGGTAATAACCAATACTGTGATTAAACATTATTATTATTATTATTATTATTATTATTATTATTATTATTATTTCTCGAAACAAAACAAATATGTTTCTTTAGGTAAAAGTTTTTAATATGATAAAATTCACAGTTTCTGAAAATAAAAGCCAAGTCATAAACAATAATAAGGAAAATATAATATAATGTGAGTAAATAAATAAAAGAATCATAAATAATAAAATACATATGAATATTGAATACGGAGGTGTTGAGGTAATATTTTTGTAACCTTATCTTTTTAATTAATTCAATAATATAATTATATTAAGTCTAATAAGATTGTTATAATCCAATCTTATATTGAATATATTATAAGAGATAGTAATATTGTTGTAACTCAACTTGATAATTTATCTAGTAATAACAACTTAATTATTTAAAAAATATCTGTGTTATATTATCAGTATACTGGGTACAAGTTTAAATTTGATAGAACTTATTAGCGAGTCAACTAGTTATTTGTGTTAAGTATGGTAAAAAAAATATAGCGATTGGTTTCAAAACAATGAATTTTTTTGTTGTTGGAGGAATTATTCCTTATTAGTACTGTACAATTATGTCTCAAATAGGATTTTCTGAACAAAACTTTGGAAACAACTGAAATGGGAATTTGATTATAATGTAGGTATAAAAGATTATTGTAATTTGATTATATATAGTAATAATAATAATTTTATAGATTATATAAAATCAGTTACCATTTTGACAGGTACTTTAGCTTATAATGGATGTTATCAGCTCGATCAACCAGGCAATCATCCCACTGGTTAACTTCAGACTTTTGCAATATCTTGCCTATGGCTAATTATATTTTACTTTTATTTGATATGACTATCAAAACGATAGACTAGCTTCATTTGTCTGTCTCTTATACATATTTTTAAACAAAATAATTAAAATGTAAAGCTTACGGAAATATCATCAAAAATATTTTTAACGACTAAAATTAGTTATCGAATTTTTTCGATCGTAATTAGCGATCAATTTAACGATTGATTTAATTCGGTCATAATTAGCGATCGATTTAATTTGGTCATAATTAGTGACTGATTTAATTCGATTGCAATTAACAATCGATTTAGTGACCGATTTAGAGATCAATTTAATTCAATCACAATTTAGCGACCGATTTTGCCACTCGAAATATGATTTGATTTTGAATCTTACCATTAACACTAATCTGATAATAATTCAAATCTCTAAAAAATATAATGAATAATAAAAATATAATATAAAGGGGAGGGTAATAAATAATAAAAATATAATATAAAGGGTAGGGGAGCCTCTAAATAATAGAGGGGTGGGTAAATAAATAAAAACATAAATAATTAACTTTGTTATCAATTTAGCGACCGATATATTATCGGTTGCTATTTTTTTAATTTTGTTATCGATTTAATGACCGATATAAATCGATTGCTATTTTTTTAACTTTGTCACCGATCTATTTTTTTAACTTTGTCACCGATTTAGCAACCGAAATTATTGGTCGCTATTTGTGCGACCTATTTAAATTATTATTTAAATAATTCAATTAATATATTAACGATCGATATAAATCGATCGCTATTTTCTTTAACTTTGCCACTGATTTAGCGAACGATTTAATAATATTAATTTCGGTCACTATTTATGTATTTAAGGAATAAGCGACCAAATTATTTAACGATCACCTTATCGGTCGCTATTTTTGCAACCGAAATGAAAATCGGTCGCTATTTTTGCGACCGAAATGAAAATCGGTCGCTATTTTTACGACCGAAATGAAAATCGGTCGCTAACACATTAGCAACTTGACCTTTTGCGACGACGTCTTTCAGTCGCTAATTCAGTCACTAAATAATTAGTGACCGATTTTTTTACATTAGCGACCAAATTCTTCGGTCGCTAAAACTATTTTTTCTTGTAGTGATCTGTTCACATGTAACAACATATTCATCACAGTTTAGACCAACATACCATACAAACTAGAGTAAGCTAGTGATAAAATTCTTCACTCATAATTATCACAAAAATATTCTCAATATTCACATCATGAATAAATAAATCAAGTACCACAACTATACAATAAATTAAGTATCTAATCTCTTAGCCTGTAAGTTACATCTCATGTCATCATGCACTAACATTCAAAACCACAAACACTTAACTCTATTTCCGGAAGACTTACATGTGTTGAATTTAGATTCAGAGATTGACACCTATTATGTCACACTACCTTCCCTAAGTGGATATCTCCAACATAGGTACATAATTGGAACATATTCCCTCATGTGACAAGGTAAATCCCTAAGACTTGTTAGATATATTTTTTTGTTCACACCATAAGCTAAGTTATAGAAACCTCCTTCAAGTCTCACTAGTATCAGTAGAGTTAAGATATCTCATTCAAAATCCAAATTCAATATATTACCTATAACATTCATCCGTTCATCACAGATATAGCATACATATAAAGATATACAATGATATTTCTCACATTATAACAATATATTGTTTTATGGATATATTAGCACTTAACACTCATTATTCATTTCAATACATGTATTCTAGAATATTCTAAGTCATGTACATACCGTTTCTCACATTATCACAAAAAAAAATCTCTAGAATTTGACCTTTGTCAATTCTTTTAGTCATAATTTTTTCTACAAATATCCTTTTTCACTAATTCTTGTTTAATTGGATTTCTTATTTCAGAGTTTCAATTTTCATATATGGAACGTTAAATTTGGAGTTCAAATATATTTTTTATGATTTTTAAAAGTTCGGAACAAAAACTTCTAAGGAATTTTGCTCGTCCGAAATTTTTTTTGCTTAGCGAAAATCCTCCTAAAAACCACTAGGAGTTTTTCGCTTGAGTGAGATATCCTCGCGTGAGCAAAAATACACCGAGAGGAACCCTTTCATCTACTGCACATTCCGCTTGAGCGACTAGCTATTGCTTGAGCGAAATATGCGGTTAATAAACCTGCATAACTTGTGTTAAATCACATTCTAGGCATCAAACACTATTCTATGAGACTCTATTACTCAATTTTATTTTAAAATATGTCATACCTAGTCCAAATATAGTTATCATACCCTAGCATTTTACACATATCGTTACTCTAAGCCAACTCATTTAATTACAATTTTAAGATACAACACAAAAAATCAAATTCTTGTAAATCCAACCATGTGACTGAGTCACATTCATAATCCAAATCTTTTAACCTAGAGTATTATGGAAATCAAAGAATAACTAGTTTTTTTACCTTTCAATTTCAGTGTCTTCAAGCTTGAAAACCTCAAATCTCTAATCTCATAGCAAGTCAGATTTTGCTCATAGAAAATCCCAAATAACAAATCCAACCTATCACAATATTCCTAAACTAATCAAGATTCGTCTTTACCCCACCAAGGTCACATGCAAGACTAAGACCCACATGCAAAACCTAAGCCCCAAATTTATAAAAAAAAAACTCTAAAATTGGGAAAAAAAATTTACTCTATTTAAGATTTTGATCAGATGGAAATGTTCCCTTCACGCTAAGAGTACAATGATGTCCTTGGATCTAGACAAAAAATATAAGAATTGATTGAATAAGTTTTAGAGAGAAGTTAGGGGATTTAGAATTTAAAGAGACGATGGTTCTTTAGAAATGAAGTTTGTTGGAGATCAACACTATCAATTAGAATAATTCAATTATGATAGGATTTAATGATAATATAATAAGTTTTATTTCGTTATTTATACACAATTATGTACAACACTTATATGAAGAATATTTCTCTGATTTTTAGGGATAAATTAGTGTTAGGTTTATTACATTGTATTCTATTTATATCTCCGTTGTATCTTTTCCAAATAAGAAATACACAACATATTTTTCACATGGTATCAGAGCTCGATCTGAATCATCCCTAACCTAACGCAGCCAACCATGGAAGAGAACAAGACAGGAGATTTGACTACCAGTTTGGTCGAAGGACCTGCTCTTCCTATCATTGGTCACAAATTGAATGGTCAAAATTATCCTCAATGGGTGTGTTCAGTTAAAATCTTCCTTCAAGGAAAAGGGAAGGAATGTTACATCACCGGAAATTGCAAGTGTCAAGTAGAGGGTGACCCTAACCTCAACAAATGACAACTAGAAAACAGTTTAGTCATGGTTTACTCAACACCATGACCAATGAAATTAGGGAGAATTTCATGTACTATGACAATGTTAAGGAGATGTGGAATACAGTGAAGGAAACCTACTCAAATGTGGACAATACGTTTGCGGTATTTGAGATCAAGAACATACTCCATGAATTGCGACAAGGTGATTTCTTAGTCACTGAGTATTTTAATACACTCAGCCGACATTAGCAGCAACTAGACATATATGAAGACGTTTAATGGAGTTGTGTTGAGGATAAGAAGAAGTATAAAGAATTGGTGGAGAAAGATAGGACCTACAAGTTCCTATTGAGACTAAACACAGAACTTGATGAAGTTCGAGGGAGAATCCTTAGAACCAAACATCTTAAAACAATCTGGGAAGTATTTTCAGAAGTAAGAAGGGAGGAAAGCATGAGAAAAGTAATGCTTGGAAAGTCAAGTGCGGTCTCACCCATTGAAGGCACAACAATGGCAGTAAGGGGTAACCAATTTCGTCCATCTAAAAAGAAAAATCGGCCCTGGTGCGATCACTGCAAGAAACTGGGACACACTAAGGATACCTGCTAGATTATTCATGGCAAGCCTTCAACGAAAAAACAGACAAAAAACCTGGACAGCAGAGGCAGTACAACAAACATAAATTCTAATCCATCTCCATACAACAAGGAGCAAATGGAAGCACTACAGAAAATTCTCCAGCAAACAATTGGTACAACTGCAGTAGCACAAAAAGATAATTTCTTGCATGCTCTAAATACTAGCACAGGATAGCAGTAAAAGCAAGACGCGTAGACGGATCAACTCATCAAGTTCCTGTTGAAATAGGATCAGCACAAGGAAAAGTACTTGTCATTCGTTGGTTATTAGGGGCATCCCGAAAAGGATTCGGTCTTATACGTACGCAAAGAAAGTAATAAAAAAAGAAAGAAGAACTCACTCATCAATGTCATGAATTATTGATTCAAGAGGCTCAGATAACATGACTGGGGATTTAACTGTATTTAAAAGCTATACTCCTTGTTACAATAATTACACAATTCGAATAGCCGATGAGACTCTTTCTAAAGTCATGGGTAAAGGTTCAGTTATTATCTCATAAAATATTAACCTGAAGTCAGTCCTTTATGTGCCTAAACTTGACTATAATTTATTGTCCATTAACAAACTGACAAAAGATTTGAAGTGTCACTAAATTCTTCCCTAACTTATGTGTTGGACGATTGACATTGCTAAAGAATGTATTGGACTCTACTGCATCCAAACTGAAGCGTCAGAGGTGGACACCTAGGCTAACCCTTGTGTTGTGGTAACTAAAAATAAAAATTTAGTAATATTGTGGCACTATCGGCTTGGCCACCCAAATTTTAGGTACTTAAAAAGAATGTTTCCCACATTATTCAATAAAAATTAGGAGTTGTTTCAATGGGAAATATGTCAATTGTCCAAACATACCCACCTCAACCCTATAAACCCCCTCAACCTTTCTCCCTAATTCATAAAATATGTCAAGATGGTTTGTCACCTTCATAGACGATCACACACATGTCACTTGGGTGTTCCTAATGAAGGAGAAATCAGAAGTTGGCAGAATATTTGAATTTTTTTACACTATGGTGGAAACGTAATTTCAAAGTAGGATTAAGGTACTTAGGAGTGATAATGGCTGAGAGTATTTTCACTTTGCACTAAGTTCCTACCTTCAGTACCTTCAAAGACATGGAATCTTACATCAGAGTTCATGTGTAGATACCCCTCAACAAAATGGGGTCGCCAAGAGAAAGAATAGACATTTCTCAGAAGTGACCAGATCTCATAACAGAATGTCTTCCCGAATCGTCAACTTTAAGACACCTCACTCTACTCTCCAAACCTCATATCTTACTAGTCGTATCCTTACATTCATTCCCTTGAAAATATTTGGATGTTCAGCCTTTATCCATAATCTCCATCCTCGTCACAGCAAACTTGACCCAAAATCCATAAAATGTATTTTTCTCTGCTATTCTCCCAATAAAAGGGCTATAAATGTTATTCACCTCAAACTAGGAAATCTTACCACACCATGGATGTCACCTTTTTTTAGAATCAGCCTTATTACCCTAAAGTTGGCAGTCAAGGGGAACAGATTTATTCAATTGAAGTGGCACAATCCCAACTTTTGAGATTTGAGTTAGCTCACTCTGTCCCAAATGCAGAACCAGCCAAGATTGCACCTGCAGCAGAGGAAATTACAGTAGCAAATGTAGAGTCAGCCAAGACTGCACCTGAAAGAAAGGAAGTAGAGTCTAGCATAGCTCCAAGGCAAAGTCATGACTCAAACCAAGCTCTAGAAAATGAGGTTTTCCTAGGTAATATCGTTTCAAATCCTGAACCTATTGATGACATTGACATTCTTATTGCATTAATAAAAGGGGTGAGATCTTGCACTCAACACCCCATTGGGAATTATGTGTCCTATGAAAAATTGTCACAGGGGTATAGGTCGTTTGTGACAGCTCTTGACAACATACATATCTCAAGAAATGTTCAAGAGGCACTCCAACAACTTGAATGGGCAACAACTGTAACAGAAGAAGTGCATGCCTTGGTTAAAATGCTACATGAGAAATCACCACCCTACCAAAAGGGAAGAAATTGATTAGATGCAAGTGGATATTCTTCATCAAATACAATGCAGATGGTAGTATAAACCGGTACAAAGCCCGACTGGTAGCAAAAGGGTTTATCCAATCATATGGAGTGGACTACGTAGAGATGTTTGCATCGGTGGCTAAACTCAATTCAATCTGAGTTATACTCTCTTTAGTTGCAAATTTAGATTGGTCACTTTATCAACTGGACATCAAGAATATCTTCCTAAATGGTGAACTAGAAGAAGTCTATATGCAAATTCCTCTGTAACTCAATTCAATCTGAGTTATACTCTCTTTAGTTGCAAATTTAGATTGGTCACTTTATCAGCTGGACATCAAGAATATCTTCCTAAATGATGAACTAGAAGAAGTCTATATGCAAATTCCTCTGGGACTTGAATCATCAAAAACCTCAAACATGGTGTGTAGGCTCCGAAAATCTTTGTATGACCTTAAGCAATCTCCAAGAGCATGGTTTGATAGATTGACTCAGGTTGTTAAAGAAGATGGATTCAACCAATGCCAATCAGATCACACGATATTTGTCTAGCACTCCGCAGAAGGGAAGGTAGCTATATTCATTGTTTATGTTGATGATATCGTTATCACAGGAGACGATTATGATCAAATCAAGCATTTGAAGGGACTTTTAGCCTAGGAATTTGAAGTTAAGGACTTAGGTCAGCTCAAATACTTTCTAGGGATGGAAGTTGCTCGGACGAAGGATGTTATTTATGTATCACAAAGGAAATATACACTGGACTTAACTGGCATGCTTCGGTGCAAGACAGCCAATACTCCCATAGAACCGGAAAAGAGAGGTGAAGAGGAAAGTCCACCCGCTGATAAAGATAGATATCAAAGACTAGTTGAGAAGCTAATCTACCTAACTCACACCAGGCCCGACATTGGGTTTTCAACTGGGGCCAACATGAACATGGCAAACTGAATACTCCAATACCTCAAAGGTAGACTAGGCCGAGGGATCTACTTCAAGAAGAACTCAAACATAGGTATTGAAGTCTATACCGATTCATATTGGGCAAGATGTCCCTTTGACAGGAAATCAACTACAGGTTATTGTTCCTTTGTGTAGGGAAACTTGGTGACTTGGAGAAGCAAGAAGCAACTTGTGGTGGCAAGGAGTAGTGCAGAAGTTGAATTCAGAGTTATGGCTCAACGTATCTATGAAGGAATCTGGCTTAAGATGATGTTAGATGAAGTCAAAATTCCTATCAATTACACTATGAGGATAATTGACAACAAAACTACTATAAGCATAGCAAAGAACCCAGTCCACTATGATAGGACAAAGCATGTGAAAATTGACCAACACTTCACTAAAGAAAAAATTGATCATGGTATTATAAGTGTTGACCATGATCCATCATGTAGACAAATAATAAATATCCTGACAAAGGCTCTTCTAAGGAACACATATGAAAACATTAGATCCAATCTGAGTATGATAGACCCAGATTGAGGGGGAATGTTGGAGATTAGCGCTATCAATTAGAATAATTCAATTATGATAGAATTTAATGATAATATAATCAGTTTTATTTCATTATTTATGCACAAATATGTATACAGTATTTATAGGAAAAATATTTTCGTGATTTTCAGGGATAGATTAGTATATAAATATATTACCTTGTATTCTATTTATGCCTCCTTTGTATCTTTTCCAAAATAAGAAATACAGAATGTATTTTTCATAAAATTTGAAAATAAGAGTTTTCTATTTAAACTATTTTTATCTCAAAGATATAAACTTCAAACTTTGTTATATTTAACCACTGTTTCTCTTTAAATTACTAAAGTTTCAGTCCTTACATTTAATCGATGAAGAAATGATATCAAGTTTAAGGTTTTGCATTCCCATTTTATTTTCATTAGACAACTGAGAAGGTAACAAACGTTTGAGTTATAAGATTTTTACACCAGTAGTGTTTTGCAGGAACTTCAACATTTGAGGAGTGTGCGAGACCGCATTGAGGATGAAATGCATTACCTGAACGAGTCTCTCAGGTTAGTATAACTCTGGACCACATAAGTCCTGTCATACAATCTGATTCAATTTACAGAGAACAGTCAACAATTTTTCAGATTAAAGAATCTAGATGAGGATACCAAGCAGAAGTTAAACTCGAAACTTCATAAATTGAAAGTTAGGCCTTTAGTTCCTTTCTCATCTTCTTCTGTCTTTCATAGAAGTCCAATTATGGGAATTTATGTTTCAATTCTTTTCGTCAGCTTGACACACAGAGAGTGCTATTAAGTCATCAAGAAGGTCAAAGAAAATTACACCAAAAGGTAGAAAAGCTTTAGTCCTTTCCCAAAATATCTAGTTCTATTTCTACTGGTCTGGTACACTTAGAAATACATGCAATTCATATTATACAGTTTCATGAGCCATGGGGCCAGCTGATGAAGACTGGTTATCAGAACTCTCGTTTTGCACATCAGGTAAAATCTGACTCCCTTTGATACTGTACAGCGCACCGTTGATATCTCCTGTTTCCAGCAGTAAACTGCACTTTCAGTTGATTTTGTCCAGTCAGTGTGTGACTGTAAATTCATTGCTATGGTCCTAGTGAGAGATACAGACGAACTTTTGCTTAATGATGCCTTGATATCATAGCAATGAGTAAAGAAAAGATGGTAAATTATGTGTATTAATATAGCCCTTCCTTCCCTCATTTAGAAGAAGCTCGTGAAAATGATTGCATTTTTTCCACTTTCCAAATCATACGTACAAAATAGATCTTAGTGAATGGTAATTCGGTTAATGAGCTTGTTATGTAATGTGTATGGTGCAGGTTGAGCAATTTGCGTGCCTTTATACGAGCCAAGTATCTAACTTGGCATTGTTCTCTTCTGATAAGTACTACAGACCCAGTGAAGATTTTATGCAGCATGAGTTTTGCATTTTGGAAAGCTGAACTCTGTGTGTACCCTGTCTTGCACCCCTTGCCTTTTGGGGGGGGGATATACATTGTGTTAACATCTTGACATTATAAGAGTTAAAATAGATGCTTATTGGATTCTAGTCTTGTTTGGTATTTCACGGAATTCAATGCCCATGCTACTCCTCACAGTAGTAGTTAAGCAAACTGAGATCACTTGGTTTTACAATTGCACTTGTTAACCTTTTATCTGTTAGCAACTTAATAAAGACCTGAATAATAAAGACCAAAAGTTAAGAATTAATTTTTCGAGATACGAAGATCCTTTAAATAAACTATCACAAAAATGTTTTTTTCACAACACATTGACCAGAAATAAAACCTCTAATTAAAGAACAAAATCATCGACCACTCATATCACACTTTCAACACTTCAATAATCAGGGCTTATGCCGTAGAACTCGATTTACAATGCTAAATACAAACTATCAATCGAATGCACGAGTAACACAATCTTTTTCCACTTCCAATTACTCGTAAGAATGAAAACTCTCATTATTTTTACATTTGTCACATTTCTTGACCAAAAGGAGGGCTGTGTGTCTCAAACAAATCTATTGAATGAGTAAAAATATTCAGTTTTTTTGGAGCTCTCGTATACCAGGCATCTCATTGTGCACCAAATAATCTGAGGTTCGGAAAGCAAAAGCTATCACTAGCAGTATAGAGATTTTCCATTGCTTCAAAATGGATCATCATGGATGCTGGGTAGTGGGTTTGACGTGCTAATAGCAAGCAACTGCTATGGCACCACCAATTATCTGAGGAAGTGGTAGAAAAACCTAGCAGACTAAAGAATAACCAAATTTCTCACAGGCGTTTATCTTGCCTCTCCAGTCTCAACATCTTGCATTTCCAATGGTTCAGGGAAAATTTCATTGGATGACCTTTTATTGGAAGATGAATGATCATTTCCACTACTTTGAGAACCTACTCTTGATTTTTTAGTGTCACTGGTACCCTCTTTGTTTGTATGTGTTGCAGCAACAACACTGTCCGATGAGCTGTGTCTCCAGCTACCAAAGAACGCAGTGCTCCAAGATTTCCTAGAAGAGTTTGTTCTCAACTTTTCTGAGCTAGTATTTTCTTCTCTCACAATCTTCAATGGATTTTCCAATGCTTTCAGGACATGTCTCATGGGAGGACGTTTGGATGGCTTGGGATTCAAGCATGCATTGGCCACAATTGCCATAGCCCATACCTCTTCCAATAGGTCCTCATCCACGATCAATTGGGGGTCAACAATCTTAGTCACCCTTTCTTTATCGTATAGAGTGATGTAAGGCAAGGTTTGCTCTAACCACTCTTTTGTAGAGGCATCCTCTGACTTACTCACTTCAATGTTACCGGTAATCAATTCGAGTAAAATCTTCCCGAAACAGTAGACATCGTAGGCGCATGTTGCTGATGATTTACCTGTCACATGAAAATAAAATCTTAATCCCAATTTGTTTATATGAATCTAAACATTTGATTTATAATTCCTCTTCTTGATTTATAAATAGAAATTGCTAAAACAAATTTACTCACCAGGATCGCCTTCATTAGAAGCTCTGCAAAATCACAACAAAACAAACAGTTGGTTAAAACCTTTATGAAGGATACAAATACAAACAGAAAATGAATTTTAATATCAACAAAATCAGCATGCAGTGATAGATCTACTTTCTTGCTTGTGCTTTGTGTCCCTTGATTCATATCTATAAGAATGCAATACTTTTTATTTACAATCAATCAATTAGAGACACATCAATTTTCAGTCACTTACGAACATATACAGATTTAAATTAAATAGGTCAAACGACTTAGACAAAGCAACAAATATACTAATTATACGTATGATCAAATCATTTTTCTGGCCAGTATGTTACAAAACCATTAAAAGCTTCAGTATACTCAATCAATTGATGTATAGACCTTTTAATAGTATCTCTTTGATTTTCATTCATTATAAAACAGTTATTCAAAACTTACGATGGCTTGCTGAAAACCCTTGAGATGACTCCTTGTTGAAGATCTCCTTGGGCAGTAACCTGGCTCAAACTTCCTAGTCGCACTTCAAATTTATCATCAAGAAGTATACTGCTAGCTTGGACATCTCTTCAAAAACCAAGAGTATCATTTCAGTAATTCGCAGAACTGAAAAAGTTCTTTAACAATGACAATGATCACAATTTAATGCAACGCAATTGTAATGCAAACCACATAAACGTTTGAATGTTGGCTTTATGCCCATGCAAAAAACAACAGACTAAGTCTATTTTATGCCAATACATTAGTCAACTCCGAAGTTCCGTTTCTAACATAGAAATATGTCATTCTAATATCACAAAGGCACGACGCCAAAGAAAATGAGAATCCAGCCTAGCATATTTTGGCAACATAAATTTAATCAAATCTTGCAGACAAATTCAATTTTGTGGCGTAATCATAGTGAGAGAACCCTAACAATCTATATATAATGTATTTGGTATTACCTGTGGACAAGGGGAGGGCTGCACTCATGTAGGTAAGCTAAGCCTTCAGCAGCTCCTATTGCAATTTTCAATCTCGTGATCCAATCCAGGGACTGTAATTTACCATCTGAACCAGTGACTCTGTGCAAAGACGTAGCCAAATCACTATTTGGCATGTATTTGTAAACTATACATTTCTCATTCTCATTCTCCAGACAGTGGCCCAGGATTGGAACCAATCTTGCATGTGAAACCTTACTTAATAGTTCCAATTCCACGACGTATGATTCTCTCTTAAATAGTTTCAAGTCTATCCTTTTGACAACCACAGTTGCTCTACCTTCCAAGACTCCCAAGAAGAGGACCCCGGAATGGCCATACTTTATGATATTTTCTTCAGCAAAATTGCCAGTCAAATGGAGCATGTGCTCAGAACTAAATGCTTCTCCCACGCCAGTCACAAAATCAACATCCTTAGGAGGTATAGGGCTTTCCCCTGCCTGAACAGGGCCCTCATCTTTGGTCCCCCTTTCAACTTCCAAACTTCTACGATTCTTACATTGTTTTAGAACCAGCACGAGGACCAATGTCAGCACCGCAATAAAGCCAAGCCCACCAAATATTCCTACCAGTATGAATACCACCCTTCTGCGGCTCCCGGACTTAGATTCTGGGAATGCAAAGGGTAAATTTCTTGCACCATAAAAATCTCTACACTCTTCCAAATTCCTCTGGTTTGGAGTCATCTGTAGGCAATTTCTATCTAGAATGACATTACCGCCACCTTCATCACCTTCCAAATAATTACTTGACAAATCCATCGTTTTAAATCTGTACAGTGAAGTGTTCAGAAGTCCATAGAACAAATTGTTTGACAAATTGAACACAACACCAGAGCTATCATTCCAACTTGCGAAATTCGGCAGTGTCCCAGTGAGGTTGTTACTGGACACATCAAGAAAGTTCAACCTGGGCGGCTTAAAATTATTAGGAAGAGCACCATCAAACGAATTCCCTCTGAGAATGAGAACCTCAAGGGCCAAGAGCCGAGAGGAAAACAAACCATCCGGAAACTGCCCCGACAGAAAATTCATACTAAGATCAACCCCAACCAACTCCGAAAGGTTACCCAGTTGAGAGGGAACCGACCCAGTAAAAGCATTTCCAGAAAGGTTCAACTTTTGAAGACTCGAAAGGGCGCCCAGTTCAGGTGGAACAGACCCAGACAAGTAATTGTTAGAAAGATCAAGCCTTGTGAGGTTCCTAAGTTTAGACACAGAATCAGGCACAGACTCTAAAAGAGAGTTTCCAGAGAGATCAAGAACAGAAAGCCTTGTGAGGTTCCCAAGCGTTGAAGGCATTCTACCGGTGAGTGAATTCCCTGAAAGCACCAAAACCCTCAATACACTCAACCCCCCAATTGATTCAGGAATCAAACCCGTTACAGAACAAAATCTAAGGTCAAGGACCTCCAACACCCTCAGTCTCTCACCCAACCACTCAGGAATAGACCCATTAAGCACAAACCCAGAAGCATTAAACGATTCTAACAGTGTCAAATTCACAAGAGAACCCACTTCAAAACTTCGGTTAAGCCTACCCAATCGAGTTCTCCTCAAACCGGACAAGTTTATACCTACTACTCGACCCTGCCGGCACTCAACCCCGGTCCAGTTCCCGCACGGTTCGGCTTTAATGGGCCAATACTTTGCCCTAATCCCCAACGACGATCGAAGTTCCCTTAATGCAAACCATTCCGTTCTCGAACTCAAACCCATTCCCATTGTTAACCCAACCATTAACAACAACATTGAAACCACACTCACTGCAATTTCCCCCATTCCCATGAATCCTAAAACTCACTCTCACAAACTCAACTTCACTTTTTTATTACACTAATATCCTCTACAGTAAAAATTTTGCTTCACTCGAGTGTTTAAGGCAAAAATACAGTTGCATACCAGAACTTGAATTCGAGACTGCTACTTAACCTGTGCCAGTTGATCCTTGTGCTGGGTGTTAAACTGAACTTTACTTTGCTTCATCTGCATCATACATGCACCAGTTCGGTTCAATTCAACAAAAATTACACACAACCCAGAATTCTTCTCTTTTTTTTTTTTTCTTTTTTTTTTTCACTTTTGTTTACCTGCACATGATGTTGCTCCCCTGTCGCTTCTCAACTCCGACACAACCCACAAAACGGATTCATCAATGTTTCAATTGGGAAAAATGTCTCTGTTTTTTTATTCCCTCGCACGAACGCGGATGAAACAAGGCTTTGGCATGTTTAAGGTTGTATTTTTGTATAGTGATGAGGTGTGTTTTACATGACCAAAAGGGGTGATGGATTCGGAACTAAGTTGAAGTTTTTGCAGCTAAACATTAAATGGGTACGAAGAAAATGGATAGTGCATTAATGGTGCCCCCAACTGCCACAAGTCTAAGTTTGTTTCTAACTCACCGAAGATATTAATGAAGGTTTGAGAGAGAGAGAGAGAGAGAGAGAGGTAGTGAAGAAGAGTGTGGCACTGTGTAAGTTTTTTCTGGAAAAGTTGGGGTGCGTTAATGGTTGTCAAGAAACGTGTGTGGTTATGGAGGTTGGTTTTGTAAGAAGAATTGATTGGATTGGGAATTTGGATAATACAATACAATACTGCAACATATCAAGGAATTGCAAGACAAAATGACCGTGAATTTGTTATTAGAAGTTTCGTGGAATTGCATGGCTTTTTTCTCAGTTGATTTTTCTTTTCCGGTTTCTGCTGTATAGACATGAGAAAGGGTGACTGAATCACCATCCGTTCCTAGATCATGACGTCGAGGACTTTTCTTTTTTTCAAATTTTTTTTTATTTAACTACTTATTTTACAATTTTCGTTATTGAAGTTTTTTCATTTATTTTTTATATTATCACTTAATTTTTTTTCACATTTTATCATCATATTGATAAAAAAAATGTTTGTAAAAACTATAACAAAAATGTTTTTCTTTTTACATAATTAACATAGGATATAATGTATTTTAGAAAAAAATTCTAAAAAAAATTCCTGTGGTAAACCATGTCATTATTTTTTTTTTATAAATATAATTTTGTCACTTTATAAATATAAACTAATAATTTGAATTTTTATCCTAATAATATCCATTTATACTAGTGAAGAAGATTGTTATGATTACTATGAATAATTGAAAAAAGAAAAAAAGGTTATAAAAGAAATTGAAATTAGTTAAAGTGTGTGTGTTTGATATTTGATGGTGGCCTACATGTAGAGTAGCAACAAGTTGTTGTGTCTTCACACGTAGAATTTTCAAAGGGAGGAACCAACAGGCATCACATGAAAACAGATGGATGAGTCCAAATCCCATAGTTTTATGTAGAAAAATGTATGATTATGTGTGAAATTGACGATGGAGCGTTTTGTGTTGTTTTGTTTATTGGATTAATAATAATGGCTTCTTTGATTTAATGTCTGTTCAATTCAAACCCTAACTTTCTCATATTCAATTTTATCTCACTTGACACATATCAATCTTCATTTTTTAATATCTTAACGTGACGTTGCTCATCAAGATTCCCTTTTTTTTTTTAAATACACTGATAATTATTTATTATGTATATCCTATGATGATGAAAATTCAAAGATTTCAACCTCATCTTAATCTTACAAATGGTGTATTTATTAATGTTTTCAATTTATAATAATATACCATAAAATCTTATCACGTTTTATTCATATACCTCTTAATCTCATCATTTTAAGATAAACTATAGCATCAATCATGGATGATTTTCCATTAGAATAATGTTTGACTCATAAGCAAAATATTTGTAAATTCATATCAGTATGAATTGAAATTTAAAATAATTCTATAAATTAATCAAAAAGAATATAAAATAAATCTATACTAATATGAGTTAGGCTAATAATTCTATTTTTTTTATCTTCTTATATTTATATTTCAAACTTTTTTTATATATATTTTTTGTTTTCTATTTATTTTACCCGCTACTAATTTTATTGACAGTTAGAATATCTTTAATAAGGGTTACGTTTAAATAAAATATTAGTTATTTAAGTTCTTTAAAATCAATGTTAATTATAAATTCTTATTTTATATTTTTTAAGATAAAAAAATTAAATTTTTTTATGGGAGAAATCCTTAAAAATATGAAAACAATTGTTAAAATTGAAAATTATTAAAATAAAAGATAAAAAATAATTTTAAACTTTAAAGAAATAAATAAACAATTAAAATAATTTATATACTAATCTAACACGTTAACACATTTTGTAATAATGTGAAAAAATCATTTGAAATTATTGACTTCATTCAGCCTGTTACTAAACAAAGTTGTTACCCTTTTAATATTTAGACTACTTAGTAGAGTGTCTCTTATTCTCATCATCCATTTAAGTTTCCTCAAATTTAGACATAATTTCTTATATAATATAAATATTAATGTTATACGGTTTAAAGAAAAAAATTATTTTTGTTTAGGATTATTGTAACTCTCGAGTTGGAATTTTTAAACTTAAAATTGGAAATAAAATTCATTCACGCAAGAAAAATTATTCAAATGGTTTTTAAAACAATTTAAAACTAATTTAACTAAATATACATACGAGGTAAAATATGTTTTTATATAATAATTATGACGAAAATTTATGTTTGATAAATTAAAATATTTTATTTAATTTTTATATATTATTAATTATTTTATTAAATTTTAGTTATCACTTTTATATAAATTATTAGTTTTATGTTACCAAATCATTAAATGACGTGTATATCTATATTTGTGGATTTAAGTGCCATTCAATAATATTATATAAATAATCCATTCAATATTATCCAAAATTAAAAAAAAATTCCAACTAATGAAAAATATATATATATATATATATATATATATATATATATATATATATATATATATATATATATATATAATCAATAAATTGATGGTGAACTTATCATCTAGTGGGAAGACAATATTTTCACCATACAAAATACTGATAAAAAATAATAAATAAGTTATCATATTAATATATAATAGTTATTATGTGTTAAATTTTACAAGGACACAATTATAGAAATTACTAATTATTACACATTATTTTTTCTAAAAATAATAAATATTATAAAAACGAGGTGATAAAAGAGTGAAAAAAAATTAATCTAGAATAATAAAAAATTAAAAGCAAATTACAAAAGAATAATAATAATGATTAAAATTAAATTGAAGTAGAATTTAAAAAATTAAAATTTATAAAATTAAAACAAAGTGTTTTTAATTAAATTCAAAAGTTAATAAAAATACTTTAAAATAAAATAGTACAAGTAATTGAATATAGAATTTCTGAAAACTATAACTTTAAAACTAAATTGAGAATTGTACTTAGAACATGATGAATTAAAAATGAAAATTAAATAGTATTGGAATAAAATAAAAATTCCAAACAAGTAAATAAATGAAATAAAAATGAGCATTGAATAAATAGAGTAAATGAAACAATATAAATTGAAAATTTTAATAGAAATTATAAATTAAATAAAAAAGAACAAATCGGAAGTGCAAGTAGTAGATAAACTTGTCTAACTAACAACTAAACTAAAAACTGAGAACATAAAAGAAAATTGAGACAAGACAAAACAACAACTTGCCTCGCAGCAAGAGATTGTGATTGTGTAGTCATCAGACCTTCATTTATAGGAGATTGAACAAGAAAAATTAAGCTTGTAATTAATTATAATAAAATCAAATGTTTCCCAAATTAAAAATTGTTAATATCGAAAAATTTATGGGACTAATTTGGAGAAAATAATTCACTTCGTTCCTATTTTGAGTAATCCAACATTGATTTGTATTTAATTCTTGATTTCTGTTGGCCTTTAATTCAACTAAATTGGATTTTCGCACTAGTTAATTTGTTTGATTCAAATTTTTCATTTGTAATGTTCCAAAAGTGGGCCACACAAACAAAACTTAGGCTTCGAGAATAGTGAAACTCGATCGCATCAATTTGGGTCTTTTTGGCTCATCTCAAATTATTTTTCTCTTACAAAAGAAAAAAAATGTATTATAGATGTATGCATGTATATTATTTTTTTTATGCTAAAACTATGCAAAATATAACAAATTTAAAAAAAAATGAATTATTCTATGTTTTTAATAAAAATATGTTAAATGCATGACTTATGAAGAAAATAAGTACCTTAGAAAATACTCTTAGATTAAGAAATAAAAAGTAAAATAATATACATCAACTAGTTATAGAAATAATTGGTCAACACTTCGTCAAATAACTAACTAATAGTCACATGGTCAACTTTATATCGCATGGCCAACCTTTCTATTATATGCTCTTTGGAGTATTAGCTGGTCAACATTACATGTAATTGGTCACTACTTGTTTCATCATATGATCTATTGATAAGTAGTTGGTAAAGTTTGAACTTGTTATGAATATGATGCTTCATTGAAATAAATTTCTTTAGGTGTATCAAAACCATATGGTTAATTATAGTAGAACTTCACCATACAATCTAATGACACATGACATTAAGTTGAGTTTGACTTCATCAAATATTTTGGTGAAATGTAGTTTAATATGACTATGCTTCTTCAAACAATCAAAAAACATGTTGTGATAGACATGGTTATTCATTAGACGGAGCTAATGACATGTGACACTTAATCAAGTTTGCTCTCGTAAGATAATATGATATAACTTGTATAAGGTCATATAGGATCTTCATATATAAGTTATGGATTCATTTTGGAGCATTTTTATATGACATGATTAAGTTATTCTCATGGTATCAAACAATGTTC